TCTATTCTATAGCCCTCGGTTCCTTCTGTCTATTCCTCCTTTGGCTATTCTGTTCCTGGAGTCAATTCTGTTCCAGCAGTCTATTCCAGGAATATAGACTATACTGCAGTGTAGTCCCTGTCTTCTCCGGTCTGTCTTTTCCAGCACAGCACAACACTCTTCCTCGTTCTATTCTATAGCCCTCGGTACCTTCTGTCTATTCGTTTGGCTATTCTGTTCCTGGAGTCAATTCTGTTCCTGGAGTCAATTCTGTTCCAGCACGGACCAGCAGTCTATTCCAGGAATAGACTATAGTGCAGTGTAGTACCTGTATTCTCCAGTCTGTCTTTTCCAGCATAGCACAGCACTCTTCCTCGTTCTATTCTATAGCCCTTGGTTCCTTCTGTCTATTCCTCCTTTGTCTATTCTGTTCCTGGAGTCAATTCTGTTCCAGCAGTCTATTCCAGGAATATAGACTACAGTGCAGTGTAGTCCCTGTTTTCTCCAATCGTCTGTGCCAGAATTGTTTCTCGTTCTACTCTATTGCCCTGTTCCGTTAATCTATTTTTAGGCTATTTCTATTCCTTCAGTCTATTCTGTTGCAGCAGTTAATTCCTATTCTGTTTCCCGCAGTCTGTTCTCTACAGTCTTTAGGGATAAAAAAAACACCAAACGTGGGCCATCGAAGGCGACATAACTTCCTTTAGGGAAGGAAGTAATCAATGCCCTTATTCCTGCCTAAGTTAGCCTGCATTGATCACTTCCATCAGTCTGTTCCTGTTGCAGTCTCTTTTGTCGTTTTGTGCATATGGATGAGGAGGATAAGGGCTTAATACTCGCACTAGGGACTTTTTCTACTAAGCTCTGGACGTGATTGCGGTAAGATTCATCCACGTTTGGACGTAATTGCAGTCAGATACATTTAGGAAAGTACTAGTGTGAGAATGGCCTAAGGGTGAATGAAGATGGATGTGGAATAGTAGAGAAAGGGTATATACTTGTTACTACCAGTAATTACCACGCCTGGTGAGATTTTTGCGGTATGTATCTGACCGGAATGGTGTGCAAATTCAGTTAAAAAGACTCTGAAAGTGGAATGTACCTGATCGAAATGGTGAACAAATTCACGTGCGAAAGACCCTCAAAGTGGTATGTACCTGAGCCGAATAATGAGCAAATTCAGTGAAAAAATCCCGCACAAGCCGGTGGCTGTGCATGTCAGCATATCCTTGATGAAATCGTGTTGCAGAATAACTGCCTGGCAATCAATACGTGGACTTTTTTTTTTCTTTTTTTCTTTTTAATAAATATAAAACATGTTATATTGCCCTGTCTCCATTCTCCACTTCATTCTAACCTCTCTCTCTCTCTCTCTCTCTCTCTCTCTCTCTCTCTCTCTCTCTCTCTCTCTCTCAGGCCTGGGTATTTGCATGGATGGACACAAATGAAAAGCGCTACCTTGTCTATTCTGCCGTCTATCTGGCACCGTATATCAGGTACGACAAGCGGCATGCACATTCCTCCTCATCCATGTTCCCCGTCTATTCTCCTTGTCTATTCTCTGTGTGTATTTTCTCGATCTCTTCTCTCCCTCCATTCCCCCTGCCTCTCCCCAGCTGTTCACCCTGTCTATTACTCCCTGTCTATTCTCCCTGTCTATTCTCCCTGTCTATTCCCTGTCTATTCTCCCCGTCTATGCTCCCTGTCTATTCTCCCTGTCTATTCCCTGTCTATTACCTCACCTATTGTCGCTGTCTCCCTGTCTATTACACCCCTACCTATTCACACTGTCTAACCTGTATTTGGGGCAACTTTTAGCCTAGATTCAGGTTTAATCACTGGGGGCATTCTATTCCCGGGGAATGTGCTTTTAGACGGAGATGATGGCGGCAAGAAATCAACTGTTGCGACGGGGGGAGGGGGGGGGGGG